TAAATAACTTATTTAAATCTATATATTATTGAATTTTGATAAAAATTAATTAAAAAATAAAAAAGTTTTATTAATAATATATTTTAATTTACTATATAAAAATTTATTATACCACTAAGTCATATGAAAAATGATTTATATACACCTTATTCTTAAATTTACTAATTAATTCTGGTATCTAATAGGCAATTCATATTCATTAGTAAAAAATCTAAAAACATTATTTAATTTTCAATAATATTTATTAAGTTTTTCTCAGATTTTTGAAATTAACTAATTGAAATTGATAAAAATCCTAGTATTTGAAAATACCTATCTAGAGATTAAATAATAATTTTATACATATTATAGATCATTTATACAATATTATTTAGTTATATAATTTTAGATAAAGTTTACAGTATAGATACATATAATACTAAGTTATATATCTATATATTACTATGTAATAATAAAAATATAAATAGATATTATTAAACTGTTTAATAGAAAAATTGTGATCTAGTGAAGTAAATAGGTTGTTAACTTCTAAATAACAAATCTAAGCTTTAATTCTTATTAATAATAAATTTTAGAAATTATATCTGTATTATAATAACTGTTTTTTGTTAATTAGTTAAGTTTTGAACATTTGTAATCTTAAATATATCAAGTTAGATCCCATCTAATATTAGGAACTCAGAGCATTTATGTAAAATGTAATATTATATATATATAAAAGAATGTGAAAAACTAGTATCACATAAGACTTCAATATAAACTTGTAATAAGAACATCAAACATAAAAGTCTAAAAAACTAATAAAATAAAAACCTATTTAAAAATCTTAAGTAAAAAAGTAATACAAAATTTTGATAATACTATTAGATCAATAAAAACCTATAAAACACCTTTATAGAAATTATTAGATAAATCAGATAACAAGATATATAGAAGAACACATGACCAATTAGACTGCTAAAATTATCAAAAAAAAGAATATATAAGTATACTATATTGAACTATCTAAATTGAAAATCTAAAAATCTGTTAGTTCTAAGTTGCAACTAGTAAAAGATAATAAAAAAGATATCAAAAAAATGAATACCAAGGTTTGAATAAACTTTACAAGAATAATAACAGTTTAATAAATAATCCTAACTGCAAGTATTAATTTCAATTATAATGAAAAATTCAGGTTAATAATAAATAAAGAATATATAACTCACTCTAATAAATTTATCTCAAGGATAAAATTGTCCTAAGGTTGAGACAAGGATTTAGGTACAAATGACCTAATAAAATTAGTACAAAAGTTTCAAATCAAAAGATTTAAAATAGAACACCTAAGCAGGAGATGTTAGATATAATAATTGATAGAAAACCTTTGAGTGAACTTTTTAAATAAATAATATAAAAAATTTACATATGTAACCAGTTGTATACTCATCATGCTGCTTGACAAAAGTATTAATAAAGTCAAAAGACCAAAGGAGTCACCTTAAAAACTAAAAAAAAAATAAACTGTTTAATAATTTCTATTATATTTAGATAATAAATAGATTTGCAATATATATAAATATAAAAAAAATTTTCAAGCACATTCTTTTCTGTAGATCTCTTGACCAAAAATCATAAAAAGCAAAAACACAAAAAAACATGAAAGTGCACAAATAAACAACACTTTTGACGGGGTGGTTTCCTACATAGATTTAGTGTTATAAGCGAATTTTGACAAAACGACCGTTTGTCTTGAATATTCCTGATATTCCTGATCGCGTAACGTTACACCAAATTAGATGGCTTATTTCGTACATAATCACGTGACGGTAAAAATTACATTGCAATTTTACTGTTTAAGATAAAACAAATTATTTTCTCGACCTTACATAACTGACCTGCTATTTTTAATAATGAGTGCAAGTGTTCATGTTGCAGCATTAGAAGGTCAACTTTATGCAGTTCAACAAGTCATAAAGTCTGAGCCTACGGCTGTAAATTCGAAAGACGAGGTTCCATTATATTTTATTTTTTGGAAATTATGCGACTTTTTTTGTTATAACCTCTTCCTGATTCTAGCTAAATGTTAAAGGACGAAAGAATCCCTTTACATTGGGCCGGCATGTGCTTTAAATACATTATTAATTATTTCAATGCTTCAAATTGAGATGTAATAGTGTTTTATTATATAAATAGTTTCGGGTGGACATTTAGAAATCGTGGAGTTTTTATTAGATAATGGTTCAGACGTAAATGCTGCTGATGAGGCATATTGGACTCCTTTACATATTGCTGGTAAAATAATCACAACAATTCTAAATCATATCAATTATAATTTTTTCATTAAACGGAATACGTGTTATGTAGTTTCAACAGGAAATTTAGCCGTGACAGAAAAACTTTTACAATTAGGCGCCATTGTCAGTTCTCAAAATGAGATGGGCCTTACTCCATTGTAAGCACTATTTAATTTACATCAATTAAAAGCTCTTGTTTCATCATGATAGAATCTGGTGTGCATGGTAAATTAAAAGGGTCATCAATAAAAAAATTTTTATCAGACATTACGCAGCTTCCAAGAATAGGATTGAGGTGAATTTTGTGTTGCATCGTTCATTAAATTGTTATATATGATTTTTAAGTCAAAAATTTATTTTTATAGATTGGAACTTTGTTATTGGAAAGAGGTGCCGATCTGAATATTAGAGATCAAAATAATCAAACCCCTCTGTAAGCAAATATTTAATTTTTCATTTAATCAAACTATTATGAAAACTCGTTAAAATTTTTTTTACTATATAGCCATCGAAGTGCGGTCCGCGGATATACCATGTTTGTGAAATTATTGCTCGAAAAAGGCGCCAGACCTAACGTAGCTGATAAAGTCAAGAACACTCCATTGTAGACGCATTTATTTTGTCTTATTTATTTGTTACAATAAATGTTTCATTAATTATCAATTTATTCGCCTGACAGACATTTGGCGTGCGAAGAAGGATACGGTGACTGTGTATTAGTGCTGATTGAAAATGGTGGAGATATTACACTCGAAAACGAGCAAAAGAAAACGCCATTAGATTTGTGCAAGAAGCAATTGAAAGATTTCATTTTACAACAAACTTCAACAGAGGAATAAAAAAGGATGCTGAGTAATGTAAATGAATATATTAATTTATACTATTGTACTATTCAAGTGCAAAATACTAATAGAATTGTAAAGCTTTTTTGTGGTAAGATTTTTATTTATTTTCAAGTTTATATTAAAATTAAATGTTGTTTAAAACATAGGTCAAAATAAATTCAAGAATAAATTTTTTTTTTACAAATATAGATATTAGTTAACATATGGTTTTTGAAAAATAATGCTGAAACTTGAAATTTAAAAATTATAATCGTTAATTTCATGATAATATGTCATGAAATTTATTCGGGCACGAATGTTTTTTCATATAATTAGCCAATCAAATCATAAGTTTTAAAAGAATAAAGAAAAAATACAAAACGAAGCAAAATTAATGCTATAAACGAATTTAATTACATATTTGCCACCAATTAAGCAAATGTATCTTTATTTCGTTTATTAAATAAATAATAAACAAACTTCGAATTATTACAATATATAGAAAAACCAATAATTTACGTCTAAAAATAGATTTTCATAGACAACGGAATGCGCGGTTTTAACTAATCTGACTAGAATAATATACTGTTTTTTTTGATCACATAGTAGTATCATTTAAAGTCCATATTATAAATATATTTTTAGAATGTCAGGTTTTCACTGAGCAGCACCTATATTATTCGACATGACATGGTCTCTAATACTCGACACTTATGCTATTGTAATAGTTTTGTTGCATGCGTCTTATTTTTATTTCAAGAAATGTACAAAAAGTAATATGTAGTTGATTTATATTTTATTAATTAATATATACATAGATTTGTTTGAATTTTTAGAAGATTTATTTATAAAGATTTAAATAAATGGTTATGTAAACTAACAGTCAAATGCACATTATTTTGTTGAATCATTATTTTCAACCTTTCTTTGATTTTTATTATCTGAATGTTTAAAATTTGTAGTTTGGTATTTTATAATTACTTTATAGCAGTTATTTTATTAATATATATAAGCTTAGTCTGCAACTATTTTTACAAAGATGAGAGTACAGTTAGTCATACATGTAACTTTTAGTTGTCTATATAAGTAGTTCGTTCTAGAGTTTTATATTAGATACTGTATCTATGATTTATTAAAAGATTATTTATTTAAACCTTCTGATTATCTGTTTCATTAATCATCTAATTACTACTATACTTTTTATATGTACTTAATTAGTATATTAACTAAGCAGCACAGTATCTTTTTTTTTTAAATTAGTTACCAGATCATTCCACATTTCAGAATACAACATTTGTTAGTAAAATTTAGGTCTTTTTTGTTAACTATTTACTTATTCTATGAACTATTAACAAAAATTTGTTTTTATAGAGTTTACTTTTATTTTAGTATTACTTTATAGTATATTTTTAGTATTTTAGTATACTTCTGTTTTGTTTTTAGCTTTTAATACAGATAGTTTAGAAGAATTGTGATCTGTTTTTAATATATCAAGTTTGATTTGATATTTTTTTTCTTTAATAGCCTGCTTGGTAATATTTTTTATTTAGAGATTTTTGTCTATTTAATTTTTTTATATTAGTATCTGTTTCTTAGATTTAACTTTTATAGTAAAAGAGTGTAATGACTTAGTAAAGTGGATAAATTGTCAACATTTTAAGTAGTAGATTGTGAGTTTAAAACTTACTGATAGTAAAAATTTGAATAATTACTTATATAATATATAGATAGTATTATAGTGATGGCATTTTGTTAATTAGTTAGAATAAGTTAGCTGTAACTATAGTTATACTAATATAATTGGCAGGTTACAGAACATTTGTGTAATATTGATTATACAAAAAGATGCAAACTAGTACCAAGTAATACAAATCTAAAATAAGTTCTTATAGTTGTATAAATTTGTAGAACTAAGAAAAACTAGAGCTTATTTAGAAATACTGAGTAAAAAAGTAGTACAAATCTTTGATAGTATTATTGTAAAAATTAGATCTAAGAAACAGTTATCAATGTAGAGAAATCAGATAAACAAGAATTTTAAGTAAAGATATCATCAATTAGGTTATTAGATTTTAGACCAAAGAAAAAAAATATTGGGCTAATCTTAATATACCAAGAACAGGTTATAATTCTTTTAGGCTATTTGGATTAAAAATCTAAAGATCAAAGCAAAGATATATTAAAAATATTAAGGATATGTTGTAAAGTCAGTACTGGGATCTGAATGAACTCTACAAGGATAGCTCTTGTTAATAGTTTGTAAAGTAGGTAAGTAGTTAACAAGAGGAGTCTTCTGCATCTTATTTTTAGATGTTATATTCTGAAATATATAACAGACTGAAAATCAGTACAAAAAGAGTATCTATCATATTGCTCAGATATTATATCAATTAGATATATACAAAGGTTAGTTGATATTACATTATAATGAAGCAGATAATCAAAAAATTTAAATGAATAATTTTCTAGTAAATTATAGGTACAGCATCTAGTATAGAATCCTAAAATAGACTACTTAAATAGGCAATTAAAAGTTGCATATATAACTAATTATATTCTTATCTTTATACAATATAATCATAATAGCTAACTTTAACAAAAGTCAATAAAGTTTCATTACAAAGTATGGTTTTTAATAAAAAAAAAAACTTTTACAATAATATTGTTAAAAATTTGTATTATTTCTCTACTTGGATCTTTTCAAATAGACTCTAGTTTTTTTCAGTTTTACAGATTTATATAGTCACAAGAACTTATTTTGAGTTTGCATTTCTTAATATTAGTTTGCATTTTTTTAAATTATTAAAATTATACAAATTTTTTATAACTTGCCAATTATGCTAATACAACTATAGTTATGAATATCTTATTTTAACTAATTAATAAAATATTATTAATATAATATTATTTATATATTTATAAGTAATTGTTCAAATTTTTACTATTAATATGTTTTGAACTTATATCTTATTACTTAAAGACTTGTTAACTTATCTATTTTACTAAATTGCTACATCTCAATATTTTTTATAATTATTTGTTATTTATTTATTTTTTTTTAAAAATGATTTTTTGGATTTTTAACTTTTATTAATACTTTTTTGGTAATATAGTTCTATAGAATTATTTTATAAAAAGTTTATAATTAGTTACAAATGTAATTTTTTATATTACCTATTTAAGAAGTTTGTCTAAAGGTTTTTTATCAATTGCTATACCTAATATTTTTAAAATTTGTATTAACTTTATTAAATTAAGTTTAAATTATTATCTCAATTTTAAAACTAATTTATTCTTAAGATAAACTTTTTGAAGTCTATTTTATAGCTTACTATAGCTAAACTAACAGTTGCAGTTAGAGCTAGTTATTAAACTATTATACTTTTATAAAGTTTATCTAAATCTTAGTACTACTTTATAGCATATCTAAAATATTTTAGTATACTTTTATATTGTTTTTAAACTTATAATTCAGATAGCTTAGTAGAACTATAATATGTTTTTTGATATATTAGATTAAACTAATATCTTTTTTCTCTGATCTAATTTTAGTAATCAAATTAGTAATATTCTTTATTTAAGATTTTGTCTGTCTTGTTTCTTTACATTAGTATCTATTTTATAAATTTAACTTTTACAGTAATATTAAAAATCTATATTAAATAAACTTTTTAATTCTCAATTTTTATAAATTTATATAGTTATAAACACTTATCTTAAGTTTATACTAATTGATACTGATTTGCATTCTTCTGTATAATCAATTATTAGAGTTGTAATCTAAAACTTATTTTTTTGATTTGAAAAGTTTTGAGTTTTAGCTATAAAATGTAAAACTCTAAATCTGTACTAAAATTTTAAACCAATACTAAAATTCTAAACTATTTTCAAAATTCCAAACTATTACCAAAACTCTAAACTAATTCTAAAATTCTAAGCTTATAATAAAATTCTAAACTAATACTAAAATTTTAAACTAATATCAAATTCTTAAACTAAGCTAGTTTTACTAAAACTAAAATATTTTTTAAAATTCTAAACTGGTACTAAAATCCCAAATTAGTATTCAAACTCTAAACTAAAATGATTTTATTAAAGCTAAAACAAATTTTAAAATTTTAAACTAATTGCAATACCAAAACTATAAATTATCAGATTAATATTAAAATTTTAAACTAGTGCTAGAACTTTAAACTAGCTAAATTATATAGTATGCTAAGAAAAACTTTTTTATTTATTTATTAAGACTAATATTAATAGCAGCTAATGCTTTTATTTGTGTTTTTAGTTAATAAATTATATATTACTTATACAAGATAAGCATATAACTAGCTATATATATAACTTTTGATTATTTATTTAAATAGTTTATCTAAAGGCTCTATACTAGTTGCTATACCTATAATCTATTAGGAGACTATCTAATTAAACATTCTGGTTCCTATATTGCATCTAGACAATTAGTTATCTTAGTTATTATATATTTAAGTATTATTTAACCCAATATTATGCCTTTTTTTCTGTATATCTATTAAGCTATTACCTAATTTTAGAGTATATTATTTGACTGTAAAGCTCAGAAAGTTCTTCTATTAACCAGCTTACTCATTTTATAAACTATTAACGGGGTTTGCTTTTACAGAATTCATTTAGATTTCAGTATTTACTTTATAACATATCTTTAGTATTTTTAGTATACTTTTGTTTTTTCTTCAAATTTTTAATTCAAATAGCTTAATAAAACTATGACCAGTTTATTAATATATCAGATCAGCCTAATATTCTTTTTTTTTGATCCTTTTAGTTAGAATTTTAATAGCTTGTTTGGTAATACTTTTACTTAAAAGTTTTTGCCTATTTAATAGTTTATATTAATATCTGTTTTCTAAGTTTAGTCTTTATAATAATATTATCAAAAATCTGCATTATTTTTTCATTTAGATCTTTCTAAATAGGCTTCTTGTTTTTTAATTTTTATAGATTTATACAATTACAAGAACTTATTTTGAGTTTGTACTACTTGATGTAGTTTGCATTTCTTTATATAACTAGTTATACAGATGCTTTATGATTTGCCAGTTATGCTATTGTAACTATCATTACAGATATCTTAACTTAATTGTTAGAAACAGTTGCTATAATACAAATATTATATAAATAATTATTTAAATTTTTGATATCAGTAGATTTTGAACTTACAGTCTACTACTTAATGATTAACAACTTATTTACTTTAATAAGTCACCACAATCTTCTAAAAAAAACTAAAATTTAAACTTTATATTATGCAATCTTGACAAACAAATTTTTAAAAATTAATTCTTATATTATATAATACATATTTAAAGTTTGCTAATAATTAATAATTATAATAGTAAACTTTAAATATATATTATACAAAGAACAATTAGTTTTTAAAATTTTATTTATCAGAATAAAATAGAACTATTATTTATAAATTTCTGTTCTAAAAAATTTAATTAATTATATATTTAGATTTAGCAATATATAAAGAGAAGTCAATATAAAAGAGATAAATTTTTTTTAAATAAAAGTTTTTTTGACTTTAAGCTTAAATATCTCAACAACTATTTTATTAAATTTGATAATTTTTTATTTATTTTAATTCTATATAATTTCAAGATTAAAATAAAAAAATTTTTAGCAGATTTAATTAAATAGTTGTTGAGTTATTTAAATTTAAAAAATTAAAAAAATTTTACTAAAAATGATTTGTCTCTTTTCTATTGACTCACCTTATATATATCTTTAGTTATTATTAATATGCAATAATATATAAAAAAACTATATTATAATATATTCAATATACTAAATAACTATATATATCTTATTTTAATAAATTAGTTTTAGTTTTGTATTTATTCTTTTGCAACAAAGTTTTATAATAATTATTATATAAAGATATTTACAAATATATTTTTAATAATTAAAATCTTATTATATTCTTTATTTATCTTAAACATAAATATATTATTTAGCTCAAACCTTAATGATTTATTTGTATTTTCTATAATATTATAATATTTTATTATATATACATTATGTTTTAAAAAAACCTTTTAAATATACTTAAAAACAAATTTTTTGAAAAATTTATTATATATTTTTTAATAAAATATATATAAAAATTTAAGAGTAAAGGTAATATAAATCATTTGTCATATAATTTTTTTAGCAAATAAAATTTTATATATATAAAAAATATATTATTAATAAAACTTTTTAGTATTATATTCAATTGTTACCAAATTTTTTTTTGAATATTCTTGTTGTCTTTGCAACTAGAGGCACATGTGATATTCTTTTTTATTAAGGTATTTTATTTAGTTCTTGCAAGTTTACATATATTGTTACTACATACATCATCAGTGGTATTCTCTAGTTCCTTCATACTATGTGCTAACAAGTTTATCTATGATAACCCAGGTCTCTGGCTCTGTGATGTAGAACCTCTGACTTTGAGGTTCATAGTTTCCTATCAATATGGCCTTACAGGTTTTATCATTTTTTAGTATATTTTTTTTGTGATTTTTTCTTAATTTAGAAACCCTTATATTATTAACATTTTTTGTTAGATTATCTTCTTATCTAGGCATTATGTGACTCTGTGGCTATGTCATGCAACTTGTTTGTTGTTATAGTACTCTTGTCTGAATGTAAAAATAGAAAATTCCCTTAAGATCATGAACATTTATAATTCTAGTATAGTTTTTTTCTTTAGTTGGAATCAAATTAGTAACCTTGTGAATATGACCTAAAAGTGCTAATTATTGCACTATTAATCCCAGGTTTGTTATCAAAATTTATTAATTTGTTTTATTAAAAAAAAATTACTTTATATATTACTAAGTTTTCCTAAATCAGCTTATAAGTTTTCTAGATTTCTATAAAAAATTTGTGTAATATAGTACAAAAAAGTAAAAGACATCCAATTAATATATATAGGTGCCAATTTTTGGTTCTTATATAATCAATTCTGATTGGCTAATTTTTGTGTAATTGATTTTAATTGGTTAAAAATATATATATATTTTCTTTTTTTTTATATTAAACGCCAATTTTTTAAACTCATATAAACTTTAATTTTTTATAACTTTTTTAAAACAAAGAATAAAAAAAAATCCTCTAACAGAAATGTAGTTTATCCAAAAAACTATCAATTTGTCAAAGGTTTTTTTGATATAACCTGTTTTAAAAAAGTTATAACACTTCAAAGTTTTTATTAATAAATATTAGATGTCTTTTACTGTTTGGTATTGTATAAACAAAATTTTATATGTAAATCATATGATAATATGATTTGCTATATAATTACTATTAAAAATAATTTATGTTATCTCTATCTTTAATATTTTATATTATAAAGAATAAATTAAAATAATATGAATTAGTAAAATATACTTGTAATTTTATAAAATTAGATTCTAAAAAGCTAGTATAGTTCTTATTACAAATTATAAGTTATTATAATACTTAATTTAATAACTCTATTATATAGATGTGATGATTTAGTAAAATAAATAAGTTGTCAACTCCTTAGTAGTAGGTTGTAAGTTCAAATTCTACTAATAGTGAAAATTTGAATAATTACTAATATAATACATAGATGATATTATAGCAACAGCATTCTGTTGATCAGTTAGAATAAGATATTTGTAAATATAGTTATACTAGTATAACTGACAGATCATAGGACATCTGACAAATCATAGAACATCCATGTAACCTTGGTTATACAGAGAAATGCAAACTGATACCAGGTGGTGCAAATCTAAGATAAGTTTTTATGGCTATATAAATCTGTAAAACTATAAAAAATCAGAGCCTATTTGAAAATACCAAATAAAAAGATAGTAAAGATTTTTAATAGTACTACTATAAAGGCTAGATTTAGAAAACTAATATTAATGTAAAGAAATCAGATAAGCAAAAACTTTAAGTAAGAGGTATTACCAACCAGACTGCCAGATTATAAATCAAAAGAAAAAAATATTAGACTAGTCTTGATATACTAAAAGCAGATTACAATTTTTTTAGATAAAGCTATAAAAAAGCTTGTCAGACTCAGTCCTTAAAAATTAACTAAGTAAACAAAGTTTAAATATAAGTGTTTGCATATCTTTTGTCTTGAAAATTAGTCATTTTAATTAGCTAATTTACATCAATTCACAATACTAATATTTTGATTATTGTAAATATTAAAATTTTGTTAAAAAACTATTAAAATTTTGTTAAAAAACTATTAAAATTTTGTAAAGGAACTATTAAAAATTTTTTGCAAAAGAAACTATTAATTACTAAACAATTAAAAATTAATTTTGCAAAAAATATTTTAAATTTTAATTTTATAAGAAGTTATTAAAAATTAATTTCATGAGAACTTAATTTTATTGTTATGAATTAATTAATTAAACTTTATGTTTTTTATTTGATTATAATAATAAATAAAACAAATAAAAGATTATTATTTTGTGTTATTTTATTTTTGTTTCAAAAAAAAATATATTTAAAGCTTTTAAAATCATGTTCTGTTCTATTTTTTTGTTAATTTTTAATTCTTCAAATAAAAACAATATTAGTAATAAAACTATTAATAGTAGTAGTTTTTCAAATGAAGATAATTTAAAAATATCAAAAAAAAAATTATCTATTTATAATTACTTAAACTTAAATAAAAATAATACTTATATTTATAAAATATGTCCTGATAACTCTGAAAATGAGCCTAGTAAATAGAGTCTGAGTACATTTTTGTTAACAATTTTATGCTATTTCAAAAGTAAACATTCAGACCTTTATAGAAATTTTCAGCACAAAAATAACAAAATCACTTATTTTATATATTCAACTACTAATAAAGTTAATAAAAATTATATAAAATCATTAAACTATAATCTATATCAACTAATCATTAAAAATTAGCTAGCTTTTTCAATAGTTGATAAAGATTCTTTTGTTAAGTTTGTTTCAAACTTTGATTTATAATATAAACTTTCCTGTTGTTAAACAGTCTTTACAACTATTAAAAATAAATTCAAAGCAATAAAAATAAAAATATAAATATACTAAAGTCAAATCTCAGTAAATTGGCACTTATTATTAATGTTTGAATAGCATATAATTAACAACAGTTTCTCAGAGTTACAGTTTACTAAGTAAATGCAGAATAAATAATTAAGACTTTACTTTTTGAATTTATTTTTTTTTTATTTTTTATTTTTTTTAAGATGAGGTTTTGCTTATATCTTTATTGATTTGTTAAAGAAGCCTCTAGAGGCTTTTCTGGATATAAATTACAAACTTATTCCAATTACAAATATATTACAAGAATGAAGCTCAGACTATAGACAGATTTTTATCTAATTTATCTGCAATCTAAACCTACTAGAGTAGTTAAACTTATTTAGATTTGATAATATAAGATATTGTTTGTAGGATAGCTATATAGTATCTAGTATACAGGCCAAAAGTCAATTTTACAAAATGTGTTTCCTAGTAGTGAGCAGTTATTATCTTCTGTATGAAGTTGATTAGACAGACTACACAGTTGGCAGACTGTATAATGTAAGTTATGATATTGATTAGAGTAGTTATAGGATCTTTTGTAAATTACAAATCTGTTATTTGGTATAATGTTGTTGTCTTTTTTCTATTATGCTAATTTAGTAACATATGGTTTCTATATGTAATTATATGTTTTTTGTGATATTTTGGTAAGCAGTTTAGTAGTTATTAAAATTGCAGTTTGATGAGATGTGATATATGATTGTGGTAATTAGATTTGTTGGCATATATCTTTATAGTATTGTAATAATTAAATAATTTAAATAAATAATCTTCTAATAAATTATAAGTACAATATTTAATGTAGAACTCTATAATAGACTACTTAAAATAGATAATTAAAAGTTGCATGTATAGTTAGTTATACTTTTATCTTTGTAAAAATAATATAAACTAACTTTAATATATAATAAAATAACTGCTATAAACTTTAATATAAAAAAAAAAATAAATTTATAAATATTTACTATAGTTAGATTCAAATTGTTCAAATTTCTTATTTATTATAGCAACCTGATAAATTATTTTTTAAATTACTATTTAATGTTCATATTTTCAAAGTTGCTAATACTAGATTTGAACTTGCAATATAACAAAATTATATAATCAGTAAGCATTAATTTTTAATAAAAATGTCTAAAAGTGCTAATACCACTCTTAATCTTGTATATGACAGTTTATATTATTGGAATCTAATATAAAAAAATCCAAAATGGGGTGTGGTGACTTAGTAAAGTAGATAAGTTGTCAACCCTCCAAGTGGTAGGTTGGAAGTTCAAAACCCACTAATGGTAAAAATTTGGAAAACCACCTATGTTACATTAGTGTATATAGGCATCTGTGCAATGCTAGAGTTACACAGAGGAATGCAAACCAGCATTGAGCAGTTCAAACACAATATAAGTCCTTGAAACCGGTACTATGGCAACAGCTATCTATCGATCAGTTGGGATCAGTACCTATAATACAGTCATACCAGATAACTAGCAAGTCATGGGCATCTGTAGCCATGTAAATCCGTAAACTGGGATAACTGAAGCCCACTTGGGAAGATCCAAGTAAAGAAGTAACACAGATCTTTGACAGTACTACTATAAAGGCTAGACCTAGGAAATGGATACTAATGTGGAAGAAATTGAGCAGACAAGAACCTTGGGTGAGAGGTACCACCAATTAGGCTGTTGGAAGTCTCAAACCGAAGGAAAAAGACCTTGAGGAGCAGACTCTGGGGTACCAGAGACAGGTCACAGTCCTACCAGGCTATCTGAATTAGGAGTCTGAGGTCAGAAACAGGGGTATACTAAAGTACTAGAGATATGCTGTAAAGTCAGTGCTAGGGTCTGGATAAACTCTGCAAGGGTGAGCCCTGTTAGCAAAGATTAAATATAGGTAGTTAGTTAGCAGTAGGGCCCCCTAGAGCCCTATAGTTAGGTGACATACTCTGAAATGTGTAATGGCCTGACAGACTTACAGACAGGAAGGTCAAAGTTAGGTTAGACAGCATCTAATTAGGTGTACAGAAGCTTGTGCTGCTATTTGCTAGTGTAGTATAGAGGTAACCTTGTACAAATTATGTAATTATAATTGAATTCACAATAAAGGCAGTAGTCACTATAACTAAAAGGCCTTAGTGAAAGAAAAAAAAAAAATCTAAAATAATATGTGATAACTGCAAAAATTAAAATAAAAATAATTTTACATATTGGTTTTACTCATAACTTATTCTTATTAAACAATTTGATTCAATTAAATTAAATTTTATAATTACTAAACATACAAAGTTTATTTATGATTTATATTTTAGAATAATCAACTCTATTTATTGCAAATTTAATATTATGAGTATAGATTATATTAAAATTATCATTAATCAATTAAAAATAATATAGCAATTAAATATAATAATAAAAATTAGATATGATGAAATTATTATAATTTTTTTTTTATTTTTTTTGAATTTTCTACTGCATAGTTGCTAGTGAGCTGCAGCTGGTAGCTGTTTTATTAGTTCAAATTTTTCAAGTTTATAAAACCTTCTATCAGGATCCCACCTATTTTTACATTTTACATTTTTATTTATATATATTTACAATACTATCTATATACTAATTTTGTGTTCCTATTACCTCAAATTTTACCAAAATTATTTCTAATCAGAGATTCCTTTGTTTTATTATTATTCTTAGCCTCCCAATCATTACAGTCTTCTTATATTAGGTCTATTGTCATTTAAGAATCTGGGTACTGAAGATCTTCCTATTTTCATAGTATGCTATCAGATATAATTAATCAACAATTGTAATTCTAATTTAGTTTTCATCCCTCATTGGACTTGAACCAGCAACCTTGTAATTGGTAACCTAGAAGTATAACCACTTCACTATTGACCCATAGGTCAATTATTATAATTTTAAAAATTTTTTAGAATCTTATTTTGTAAAAATTAATGATATATATGCATATTAGTATTTTTATTTTTATTATAATCATTCTGAAAAAGTTTTTATATTAAAAAGTAGTAGTTTAAAAAAAAAGTTTATTATTTGTAATAATGTTTATTTTAATCTTTACCAACTTTTAGATATAATTTCTTTATAATCTTTATTTACAAAATATTAAGCACAACTATTTAAAGATATATGTCTATATATTTATAATTTTCATAAAAATGAATTATGTTTTGCTCTAAGTGAACAACAAATATTATATACTATAAATGTTCTATAATTACATTAATTATTAATTGACTTGTATTACAAATTTGAAAACAATATATTATTATATTTTGCAATTAGTAAATTATTCTTTTATACAATAAAATTTTTAGTAAATTTGTTCTTAAATATTAGTTGCCAAATTTTTTTTTTGATGTTAAGATGACCTCTTTGGTCTTTTGATTTTCATTAATGACTTATTAGTAATGTAATTTTATAAACTATTATAGAAGAGAGTACAATTGGCTATATGTGTAACTTTTTTATATTACCTATTTAAGGAGTCTGTCTGAAGATTTCTCACTAATTACTGTATCTAATACCTCTACTTGGGTGTTTTACTTTAAACTCTCTGAACCTATAACCTGTATTAACTTACTAGATTATATCCAAATACCCAGATTATTATCTCAACTTTAAAACTAATTTATTTTCAAAGTAAACTTCTTAGAGCCTTTTGTACTTATTTTTACAGTTAACTTAGATATTGCTATGGCAAAACTAACACTTGCAGTTAGAGTTATATTATTTAACCATTATGTTCTTATAGAGTTTACATAAATCTTAGTATTTACTTTATAGCATAACTCTGATACTTTAGTATACTTTTGTTTTTTGTTTAGCTTCTTTATCAAACTTCTAATTCTAATAGCCTATATAGAACTATAACCAGTCTATTAGTATATTAGGTTGATCTAATATTTTTTTTCTTCAGTTTATTCTGATGGCCTGGTTAGTAGTACCTTCAAAACTCCTAACTTAGAAGTTCTTGCTTGTCTAACTACTATGAATAGGTACTACAACTTTGGTATCTGTTTTTCTGAACTAGTCTTTACAGTAGAGTCATCAAAGATCTAACTACTTCTTTACTTAGGTCTTTTCAAATGAATTTCTTGTTATCTAATTTCAATGGATTTATATGACTACAAGGACTTATCTAGTGTTTGTATCACCTGATTTGTTGGTTTGCATTCCTCTGTATAACAAGTTACATAAATGTCATATAATCTGTTAGTCATACTAATATAACTGCTATTATAGATATCCTAATTTAATTATTAGTAACAGTTGTCATAATACAAATATTACATAAGTAATTATCCAAATTTTTATTATTGATAGAATTTGAATACTCAACCTACTACTTGAAGGGTTAACAATCTGACCACTTTACTAGGTCATTGCACTTTTTCAAAAATTTTTTTTTTTTTTTTTAGTATTAAAGTAAGGTTATGCTTTTTAGTTTTTATTAGTATATTTGTTATAGCTAATACAAATCTATTATACATTATCTATTACTATATATCTATTTAGACATAGGACTCAGACATATTTATCTGTAACCTAAACCTATTAGAGTTTTGTATTGTGTTCCACTTACATCTAACCTGGATTTTTGTTTCACTACTAATTATATTAAGTAACTTACATATTTCTCTATATCTTACAACCTATTTT